GAGAGAGAGAGAGAGAGAGAGAGAGAGAGAGAGAGAGAGAGTTCTTCTTCTTCCTCTTCTAAGTCCACCATCTCTTCTTCACCCTCTCACCACCTGACTTCTCAGTATCACCAGACTACGACAGAGAGAGAGAGAGTTGTGACTTGAGACTTGACGACATTGGATCCAGACACGACATTGGGATTCAGACATTTGACGAGGGACTATTTGGGCCTGTGCCGAAGACTTGGTGTTGACGACATTCCCATCTTACCCTCTTCTTCGTCTAACCCCCCTCTTCTCCGTCTGTGTATGGTTCGGGGCTGGCGCATTCGTCCTGTGTGAGCGCCAGACCCCTTTACACCATGGGGATGATGATGATGATGTATGTTCTGGGCTGCATTGCAATATTGATTGTTCGGATCATTGGTATCTTAGTTTTCCGCTGCGCTATCTTGTACTTTGTATTGAGAGGTCGGTTCTTGTTCTGGTCTGCAGACTCTGCACCTATACAGTATGCAACACCGGTCCTGGCAATGATGTCTCAAACTCCTAAGGCCTGGATCGTTCTAGCTGAATACCTGCTAGGAACGGAATGGGATTTTTCCAACCATTAACATGTTTGGCGTTGTGTGCTTACCTTTCTATTCTCAGCGCAGACCTAAATCCAGAGTGTGGCGGAATATTCTTTTTGCTTGGAACAAACTCAGACCGACCAATCAGCGAGAGCCGGTAACCAGACTGGAAGTGTTAAACCAACCGCTGTTTGACAACCATCGCATAACACAGCTGAACGGTGAGACTTTCTCTGCAGGGGAGTCTGCAGGTCACTTTGGCAAGTCCTGGACCTCGAGGGGAGTGATCTCTCTGAGAGATCTCTGGGATGAGTTACTGAATGACTGGGTACCGCTTGATCTTCTGCGTAAAAAATTACCAAGGCTTCATAATCTGGAAATGCACTTCACAAATCTAAAACTGGCAGTCCCATCTTCGTGGATCACATTCTTAAAAAGACCTCAGCATCCTGCTGTAGATATGTGGTTTGAATCTCCAAGCAGGCCCATTGAGTTTTGGAGGGTCATCGGTCCTCCGACCCCCCAGGAACCAAGGTTCAAATTTGGGCACGAGGCCCTAATGATAAGGATAATGACCAGTTGAGATGGAAGAGTGAAGAGTTTCAAGCTTTGGAAGTCGAGAAGTTGGAAGAAGTAAGAGTCTGGGTTACAACGGATCAGAACGGGAAGGATGTCTGCTCCGGGGGCAGACTGGCCTCTTCCTTTAAAACGGAGCCCTTCCTGTTAGGCTTGGCGGACCAGCCCACAACGGGAGTATTCACTCCTCTCAGCCATTACCATTCCAAGTTAGGGAGAGCAATTCAAGTGAGCAAGGTAGGGAAGACCCCTCTAGCAACAGCAACTAAAAGATGGGAACCTGATAAAACTCTGGAAACAGATTCAGAAGCTTCCGGATCAGAGGAACGCGAGTCTGCTGTGGCTTCAATCTCTCCAGGCAGTACCTTTGGCTAACTGGCTAGCTATAAAAGGAATGTCCGTCTCCCTTCAATGTGTTCGGTGTTCCTGGGCCCTGGAAACCACTTCGCATCTTTGGATAAACTGCCCCCAGTAGATCCAAATCTGGCAGTGGTGGAGACACCACTGGTCCAAATGGGGAGGTGCTCCCCCAATATGGTCAGACTCCTGGATTCTCACAGGCTGCAGCCAGACCTTACCCATGCAAGATTCAGGCTGGAATTACATTGCCCAAGTTTGCAGAGGTATTATTATGAATGTATTGTGCCAAGCAAGAAACCAGAAGCTCTTCAGAGACGAGGCAGTGCACCTCGAACAGATGAAAGCTCAGGTCAAGACAAGGATCAGATTAACTGTAATAGCAGACTGGCAGAGGAAAGGTCCAATCTGGTTCCTTAAGACTTGGGCCAGCTCGGGTCAGCTGGTGTCAGTGACACAAGAAGGAAAACTGGAAGTGTCTGCGTGGCTTTGTCCCTTTCAGCAGACTTAAGGCTCTAAAGCTAGACTAGACTTCCTCCGCACAGGAGTAGTTAGCTCAGTCCTGCCTGGAATGGCTCTTGGTAGGGCTGTAAGAATGTTCGTCTCTGTTCCATTTGGTCCTTTGTTAATCCATTTGGTCACTGGTTTTGTTAGCATGATCTAGAATTGAATAGGAGCACGGGACACTGGACCCGGTTTCCAGTATCAGCCTATTCTGGGTAATGGCCCCAGGCATCCGGGTTGAGATGTGGGGGGATTCCCGGCCTCCTTTGCTTATCATATAATAAATCATGCTATTTGAGAAAGAAAAAAAAAAAAGGGTCGAAAACGTCCTTCGGGACATCGGTTAAAATTGGAACGATACAGAGAAGATTAGCATGGCCCCTGCGCAAGGATGACACGCATAAATCGAGAAAAAAATTGTCGAAAACCTTGTTTTTGACAGCCTGTGTGGAGAGCCTCTAAAGAGGGGCACTGTCCAACGCGACGGGGGAGAACGAACAAAGAAGAAGACGAATCCGGGCCTTCCTATCGAAAACGACGGGGAAGCACCCAAGCGCCCCCTCTTTGTCTTTTTCACCTTCCTTTCAGGCGGTGGGCGTGGCGAGATAATTTTTCGACGTCCGCCATCTCCCCTGGCAATCGCTGCCTCTCTCTCGTTGCCCGGCGCGCTGTGAACAAACCGGCGCAAACTCCCCAGCTGCACTTCCCCGTCGTCGATCGCCCTCATGCACCGGCCTTCACTAAAACTTCAGCCCCTTCCTTCCCCTGCTCGCAGCGGCTCACCAACTCCTGCCCGCGGCCAATGCCGCTTAAGGGGTACGATTAATTTTAAGACCCGATGATAATCACGACATAATAAGATCCTTGGAAGAATGTTACCACAAGTTGGAAAAAATAATATGAATCTGATATCACCTCAAGAGAGATTTCTTAAGTCATTGATTTTTTTGTTTTTGTTTTTGAGGTTCTTTGATTTGTGCGATGATCTCTGGACGTCGCAATTACTTCAAAACCTTTGAAGTCTGTCGTTTTAAATTGAGAAGATTCAGTACCAGAATGCGGAGTTGGTGACAACTACTACAAGCCCAATGCTACAGTGCCATAACACTTTTACACGTCCGCGACAGCCAATGGCAAGACGTCCAGTGCATACCCGGTCTTGCTCTAAGATACCTTTCGCCGAATCAAATGAATGCTCCAAACACCGAAATATTAGCAGTTTCAGGTCTTGGCCCGCACAGTGACATGCACCTGCCAGCAAGTGAAAGATTTGAGCACCTTCCAGCCTGCTGGCTGTGCGCAAGGCAGACTCCATGTAACAGTTAGTAAGCAGATCAGGAGCTAGAGATCTACCCACTAGTACCACGCTAGTGGCTATCACTCGCTAAGACACAAAGGAATTCACATATATATATATATATCGTCACAAACAGAATATATATATATTATACAAAGAGTATTTACAGTTCTCATCCTTTCCCTCACTCTAGGAACACTTCGTGATGCTCTTGTGACTCAGCATCATCGTCCTTGCAGATGGTATACTCTGCCTCTGGCATCGCCAGAAGGTACTCCATGTCCATTGTTCTGATCAAGAAGTCCCATCCTACATCGAGAAGCATGATGTGGAAGCGCTGCACAACAGCTCGCATTGCCGGCCTTGACCCATAATCTTCATGGACACATTCCCAAGCCACTCTGAACGTGTTCATCACCATCTGCTTCGTAGAGTCTCCCGCCATCTGATTCCACAAACAGCGGTCAAGAATAGCACGTGGCATTTCCAGGCTCGGGTCTTGGGCTGTTTGACTGTCGCCCCGAAGGAAAGGCTTCACCCAGTCCACCAGTGTCTGCCATCCCACCCCAGAGGGCGCCCGTGTGACTACCTTCCTACCCGTCAGCAGCTCCAGTACAAGAACCCCAAAGGAGTACACATCATTCTTCTCGGACAGCTCGCCCCTCAGCATGTACTCCGGCGACATGTACCCAAAGGCGCCACCAATGTGGGATGTGATCACAACATGGTCGTGCCCTGTGTCCAGCACCCTCTCCCCGATGGCCGCCAGTCCGAAATCAGCCACGACTACGTAAAGTTTGTCCCCACAGCCATCGCCAAGCAGGACGTTGCTGCTCTTGATGTCCCGATGAATGATGGGAGGCTTGGCATCATCGTGTAGGTACTGGAGCCCCTTGGCAATCTGGAAGGCAATGCTCATGCGCTCCTGGAGAGTGAGCGGCGGAGGAGAATCCTTTGCGAGTTCCCTCTGGTTAGCCGTGTGAGGGAACAGCCGTTCGTGCAAGCATCCGCCTCTGAAGTACGGGTACACCAAGATGCACTGGTTGCCCTCCTGGCAGTAACCAGTGAGCTGGATGAGATTGACGTGATTAACTGCACTGAGAGTGTTCACCTCCGCCACGAACTGGTTCCGTTTCACATCCGTCAGCTCACCGGTCATCACTTTGATTGCCACGTCCTTGCCGTCGAGCGAGCCCCTGTATACTTTCCCAAACGCCCCTTTGTCGCCGATGCGATAGGTCTCGCTAAAATTCTCCGTGCAATCCGACAGCAGTTTCCAACCAAACTGCTTGACGCGCGACGGCCTCAGTCCCCAGAAATCCATAGCAGTACAGTCCTGAACAGATGAAGTCGTCGGCCGGGCGAGAACGGTATGGTTAATATTGACCGGTTCCAAAGCTCGACGTCCACGCGTTACAACACGGCGAACGCAAAACGCGATGCAGCTTACTATTGCTATAAACATAAATGTCAGAGGAGCATATAAAAGTAAATAAACAGCGTTTATTAGAGAATACCCAAGGGTGGGTACAATAACTACTATCAAATAGATCACGCCTGCGAGTCCTGACGAAGGCAGATTAACCGGGAAAAAAATCAGTGAACGTTTATATCGGGAGATGGGATATCTGTCGCTGAGGACTCGTCCAATGTACGGTTCGTTTCCACAACGGCTCAGTTCCGGCCCGTTCAGCGGAACGCTATACACGCTGCCATCGGTGGTTCCAACATAGAGGCTTAAGCCGTCGCCGTCGCCGTTGTCACCAAGTGCCAATGCCGTAACATCCGCTTTGCCGAAATAACGTGGGAGTGCCGACCTGGCTCCCACCCTGCCGCATGTCCTTTCGGTCCTTTTGAAGAGTTTGAAGACCTCGATTGTATTGTTTGCGGCCGTGAACACGTGACAACCTTGAGGGGTTGCAACCACGTCCATCTCTTTCCCGAGGAATCGAACGGAAGGGTATGCAATTATAGAGTGGTCGAAATGTCCATCCCCAAGCTTCCTCCCGAACAACCCGTCGTTAGAAGTCACGGAGTAAAGGCAACTGCCGTCAGAGACAAGGCTTCCAGATTGGAACTTCTCGTCAGGATCGATACCCGTTTGGATGTCCGAACGGGATACTCGGTTCAGAGGGCCGTTTGGAAGCCCGACATCATTAACGGTGACGTTAATTAATGCGGAATCAAGTTGCAAATAGTACAGAAAACCCTTGTTAGACTCTAATGCCCACGCCTGAACCAATTCGCTCAAAGGGCCGGAGGACGACCGATAGCCGTCAGCGAGCGACAAAGATGTGAACCTGGAGCGATTTTGGTCACCAGATATGGTTCCACTGTCCCATATTACTTTTGGGTCCCCATTGGTTACGCTCAAGACGAGATGCATCCTATCTTTCGACAGACCCATTCCTGTCACGTGAGCATCTCCAAAATCCGCTGGTTCGCGGATTATTGTCCCGTTCGGCTGCCCGAATGGCCACATGTAACTTATCAAGAAGTCGACATCCTGCGGGTTCGGACCGTTGGCGTCCTGCAATCGCGACAAGTTCACTCTCCTAATCAACAGCGCCCGATCCTCGAGAGTACCATCCACTTGGCAGTACTGGTGCAGGATGTAATACAACTCACCCGAACCGACCACCAGGTTCGTAATTTCGGTCCGGCAATCTTTCCCCGCAGTCCCATTCGCCCGCGGGGTATGCCACGTCACGTGCGTGACGGAACCGCTTACAAACGGCGAATACTCTATCTGCCGCTCTTTCTGCGGTGCTGCTAGAGCGGCACTCCTCGACTCCTGAAGAACGCGATCACCCGCGTGCCAGCTGGGCTTGGAGGCAAGGCTCCTAAGCCCGGTTCTATGAGCTGATCCCCGGCACGCTGTGCACAAGAGGACCAGATAACAGCCACACACCATAGTGGCTGCGATTGCCATCAAATAGACTGTGACCAATCGCGCCCGGGCAAAGAAATAGACACGAAGACTCCTGCAATGATCACATAAAACGATATAATTGTCCCTAATAGGACAGAAGAGCTTCATATCCCCAACCAAACTGTTTCTACACTGCCCAACTGAAGTCGCCTTCCATTACTGAACTACAACTCCCTACTCTTGATGCGCAACTCACCAGAGCTAGTGCAAACTCACATTAATTGGATTGCCTGGACTGAATCCTTTCCTGAAGAAGGACAAATCCAGCCGGCACAGACACAGTGGGAGTGTTTGCCGTCGCTGAGCTAGCACTCTAACGCTCACTGGCTGTGATGTAGATGGAGCTTCCGTTAATCTCTTGCATTCTGCGAGCCGTCGACAGCCACGCGGCGACACGAAGCACGGTCACCCGCGGGCATCGAGCGGCTCAATCGAACACCAATTACGATCCAAAAGTGAACTAAACTTTCCCGAAAAAAAAACAAAAAAAAGTGAACTAAACAAAAAAAGAGCGATCGCGGCAGTCGTCAAGTGAACTTATCCGCGCTCAGCCGCTATTGCTATCCTTTGCTCCCCCGCGGTCGCTGCCTCCATAGTGTTCCCGAGGGTTTCGAGCGATCGCGGCAGTCGTCACGTGAACTTAGCAAAGTTCACAAACCAGCGTACATGCCTCGTTTGCTCACCGTAAATAGACATCACGTCGACGGCTCATGCCAACGCAGTTGCGTAGTTGCTGACAAAATGCTAATCACATTCAGAGAGTGAGAAGACGGGAGAAGCGCCGGCATCACTATGGCGGGCCGTCTCTGACTGTGCCCTGCAACATATCCCTGCAGATGCGTCGGGCGACAGTGTGACAAGTAAGGATCTTCTCAGAGCGAGCGAGCAAACGCGCGCGCGCGCTGGAGAGAGAGAGAGAGAGAGAGAGAGAGAGAGAGAGAGAGAGAGAGAGAGAGAGAGGGTGCAGAAGCGGGCGGGCTGTAAGGTACTCCCATTGGGGCGGCGTACGTAATGGAACTTCGACGTGTAATTTCATGTGCAACGTAGGAATCTAGTAGAGAAGCGGCAGCTAGTGCACGACTAGAGCAGTGCGTGAGAGTATGCTTTTGTGATGGAGTTGCCTTGTCCCGCCAACGTTACAACGGACGGTGACAAACTGCCACGCGCGCACAGACACACACACACCCACAGAGAGAGACACACACACACACACACACACACACACAGAGAGAGAGAGAGAGAGAGAGAGAGAGAGAGAGAGAGAGAGAGAGAGAGAGATGGGGGGGGGATAGCCTACAGATTCTGTTGGCAGCGTACTCGCAGTGTCGCACGCGGTGCTTGGTCACGCCAATGGATGGATCGACAAAAATATCGGGCCTCGATACAACCCCTGAGTGTGATGGTGGTGAACTGTCTTGCCAGGAGAAACCGCAAAGATAAAGTCGGGATTTTCACGTTCGGGGAGTGGTGGAGCGAGACCTAGACACGAGCAGAGGCCAATGGCAGCTAGAGGAGCTTGCATCCCTCGGGAGTGCCTCATCCTGGTCCATGTGCTCAGGGCATCGACAGCCAGGAACGGACGGACGGACGGAGATGTGGGTGCTGGCCACTGTGTTCGTCCTCGTGCCTGGGCGGCAAAATGTTTTTGTGGAGGAAAAAAGCCAGAAACACATGCTCATACAAACACGTAATCTGGATGTGTCCGCGCGCGGGGCACAAAGTATTTGTGAAAGAGAAAAGGCGAGAAACACATGCGCGCGCGCGCGCGGCACAAAGTGTTTGTGAAAGAGAAGAAGCCAGAAACACACGCGCGCGCGCGCGCGAGAGAGAGAGAGAGAGAGAGATGTCATTCCTTTTTCTTTTTTTCGTAGTTAGCAGCGTACTCGTAGTGGGGCTAGCCGTGCTTCGCAAGACCAATACATGGATCGGCACAAATATCGGGGCTCGATACAACAACCGCTGACTGTGGAGGTGGTGAGCGTGTCTTGCCAGCTTCAACCGCAGAGATGAAGTCGGGATTTTCACCTCTGTGGAGTGGTGAAACGAGACCTACGCACAAGCAGCGGCCAATGGCAGCTAGAGGAGTTTGTGTTTGTATCCCTCGGCATCGACAGCCAGGAACTGACGGAGGTGTGGGTCCAGACAGCTGTGGGATTCGGACCTCTATGACACGGGACGGTGGACCCTTTTCCATGAGATGCTCCTCCCCACGAATAGCATGCAGTTATCTACCACGAGGTGAGAGAAGAACAAGGGGTAGCCCCAGTATAGTCACAAAAACAGTTTGATGTTAGACTTCAGCATTCCCCCGAACATAACACACCGCCACGTAACCCTACCTGACCCGAAAACTAACTCGTACACTTTTCTTTTTTTTTAAAAGGGCGACGGCCTTGAGATATTATCATTGAGCTGACTGGCCCCTATTCGTCAAGTTCCATCATCTGGATTCGAACACACGCCTGTATTTCAACAGTTCATGGATGTACCCACTGAGCTAGGCTCTTGGGTCTCGTACACATTTCCGGAAGTGCAGTTTGAAATTGTTTTTTCCCCGAACTGTATTTTCAAACTCTTTTGTGACTCCCCCCTAGTTTGGGGAAAGAAGAAAGATCGTCCGAGACGAGTTGTGCCAGCTGGAATTCTGAGCTGCTTAGGGGTGTTGACGGAAGAGTTGTGCTCTTACTGCAACGGAACGGCATTCGTTTCAAGTCGTCGACTCCGGCCTGGACCCCACAGGAATTCCGTTGGAAAAGAGGTCTGCCCAAAAAAGACCGTGGAAGAGTTTTGGAAACTCTGGAAAGAGTTCGGCGGGGACCCCACCACAGAGTGAGTTTTGCCACAAAATGACGTCAATATTTCACCTAACAGGAAACTCCCCTGCCGACCATCCCGAAAAGGAAAGTGTTGGTTTGTCCTGGTGGTCGTCTGAGGAGCGTAGGAACCAGTGAGGTCCTGTAGCAGGTGACGTTGGGGCTGTGCTTGCGGAACAACACCCATGGGCGGACACCACCTATGGTCGGACACCACCTTGTCGGGGCTTGCGGAACAACACCCATGGGCGGACACCACCTCGTCCGACGGGGGGAGGAGACCTTGGAAACTTTCAAGATGTTCCCCCCCTCGACAGTGTCCACTTGGCACAAAATAGCAGCAATTTTCTCTCCTGCGGAACTTTTCCAGGCCACGAACAAAGTGAAAACTGATTCCTGGCCTCTCTTCCAGGCCAAAAAGGGGCGCTGCGGGGTCCTGGGAAACAATTCCACGGAATAAATCCCAACTTTCCAGGACCTCATCCACCGATGGTAGGGTCTCGAAAACAGTTCTGGGGCAAAGATTTTCCTTTCCGCATTCCTTTGGGGTCCAGCCCTCAGTCACCTTTCACAAGAGCACAAAAAAGTACTGCGAAAAGTTTAAGGAACATGATGGACGCAGACTGGGGCGAAATCAACACGACAGGTATCTGCTAAAAGAACAGAAGGGAGAGAAGTCTGCCAAGAAGTGGGCCCAGGACCAGTGCTGTGCTGTGACGCCCTAACCTCACGCCCAGCGCGACTTCCTGATCGGAGTAGGATGTGGGCCTCGAAGTGCGAAAAGGGGTGTGCCAAGGATTTTTGGGAAAAGTGGAGTCCCAGGTCAGAACTGAGATCTCCTGTGACAGGGTCTTTCGGGGGGGGGGCACGAGTGCAATTTGGCTGAGAGGGCGTCTTCGGGTTGTAAGGCAGATGGTATGCGCAGGTCGCTCAAAACCGAGCGAGCCATTGGTTTCGGGGACGGCGGTTTGCGGGCGGGTTCCTTCGGGATAGGTGGGGTTCCGATGAGTCAGTCTGTCAGGAGTTGCCACGTGGCGCTGGCCGACGCGCGTTCGGGTTAGGCCTTTGGAAATCCAGGGTTCTCTGATCGCCGCGTCGCCGGCAGTTCTCACAGGGTGTGCTGGACCAGTAGGGGGCTATGGCCGGCCACGGGACACGCTGAGTTGATGATACGGAAGAAGAAGGCAAAAGGGAGGGAAACACATCGTCCCGGATATTGGACCAGTACCACTCATTTTTGTCGATAGCCGACTCCGTGATCCGTACGGCGAAAAGAGTCGCAGTTTCTTCATGTGCCGTCTTAACCAGTCATACCTCAGGAACGGATGCGGTACAACCATCCAAATCCCACTGCTGTCTATTTTCCGTTTCTCTAACCTACCTTCTATCCATTGATAATCCCGGGCCCTGTCGTTAGCCCTCCTCCGATCTTCCTTGGTGAAATCCTGGAGGGGGTTACCCACTAAGGTGGCAATCAAGGCGATATCAGTTCTTACTTTTGCCCTTCTAAACTTCCAAGTCTTTTTCAACCCTTCTGACATGGCATCCAAAAAGCGAGCCTCGGTCGGAATCTTGTCAGTCCGACATAAGTGGCACAACCACGGTTTATTGTCGATTCTGTATTGGATGCACGAGCCATGGGCTCGTGCGACACACTGTCGACAATCTATCCATTCCGCATACCCTTCCCCATTAGGACGCATGGAGACCGAGTACACACGGGAGATAGCTTCGCAAAAATAGCAAAATTTGTCACGCAGGGAGAGCAGAGACGAAGAGGAAAGGGGAGAAAGAGGGGTAGTGGGGGTCATCACCCATTGCCACCGTTATGCTTCTTGCCATGTGGGAGAACTGCCACTTGTCCATACTTAGGCTCGTTTGTCAAGTCCGGCTCCTTCCACGGTGTAATTTCCTCACCCTTTGGTACTTTAGCGGGTCGATGCAGACATGTCAGCCCATCTGCGTTGCCGTGTCGCTCCGTCTTTCGATGAACGATATCGAAGTCGTACTCTTGTAGTCGCACCGCCCAACGGCCAATCATGCTCGTGTAATTAGTGAGCTTTTTCAACGCCAACAAAGCTTCGTGATCTGTTACGAGGCGAAACTTCTGTCCGTAGAGATACGGATGGAGCTGGATCCCCCTGACTACTGTATAGCATTCGCCTTGGGGTGTTGAGTCATTCCTTCTCTCGTCCAGCACCGTGCGCGACGCGTACTCGACGATGTGCTCGCGACCATCGTTCCCCTTCTGCGCTAGAATAGTGGAGATAACTTCTGGTTGCCAGTCTGTAATAAGAATGAACTGTTTCGAGGGGTCCGGCCAAATCAAAATAGGGGCTGTCGCCAGAGCAACCTTGAGGGTCGCGAAGGCCTGTTGGCACTTCGCATCCCAACTGATAGGTTGGTCCTTCCGTACCAGGTTCGTTAGTAGTTGTGCAATCGCGGCGAAACCCTTGATGAAGCGGCGATAGTATGATGCCAACCCCAAGAAGGCTCGAACCTGCGTCAGCGACGTGGGAACTGGGGCTTCTCTTACCGCCGCAACCTTTCTTGAGT